CTGGAACGGAGGTGGAGGGGGTGGACTTACACTGTCCAGTTCCCTCAGTCCCCGCTGGTTATCTCAAACCCCACTGCTTCGGACGGTCACGAATCCCGCAATGGAGTCTGCAACGGCTTCTGAGAGTCACACATGCCGCATCTCACGGCCCTAGCAAGTCCAGGGACTCCTGAAGGCACGAGCTCTACCTTCTACTCCTCCCAGGGCTCATCACTACCCCCACCCCCAGGGCACGATACCATACTGGGCACACAGTAGGAGCCTAATAAATGCAAATTGGGTGAGCCCATACGCGACTGTGGAACTGATTTAGTGAACTGTCAGGGCTGGGAGACCAGGGGACTCCATGAACACAGGGTGGCATCCTTCACCCTTATGCAAGGACATGTGACCGTCTCACGATGGCGCTTTCCCACCGCGAACCCAGCACTTCCAGCAACGACCCGGTTACACACAGTCCGTCCCTGCGAGTCACCCCACTGAAACGGCCGTGAGAGTTACCTCCGTCCATGAAACCAACATAAGTGTCAGTTCCCGGAGGAAAAGGAAGAGGGATTTCCAGTTGGGGGCAGAGGAAGGGAGCTGGCTTCCTAAACACGCTATTTACAAACATCACATTCCAGGGATATGAAATCAGAGCAGAAAGTCTCTCTCGTTGACCTCAACAAGAAGCGGCTGACCTCATTCCAACTCCTGTCAGGAGCACTTAGTTGCTCTGTCACTCTGCTGGAATGTTCGGAGCTCATTTTTGCAAACCCCTTAGGTTGAATGATCTAGGATGCACAAGCCTCGGGGACAGTCAGGTGACAAATCAGGGGTGGCAGAAAGTGGTAGAAAGAATATGAGGTTGAGAGACAAAACAGACCATGACTTGGAAATTGGCTCTGGCACTCATTAGCTCTTCTGAGCCTTGGTAGCCTTAGCGCAAAAAAAAAAAAAAAAAAAAAAAAAGGCGGGCAGGAGGCCAAACACCTTCCTCAATGAAACGAGATGCAGATGGTAACAGCCGGTACTTACAGAGGCTTCTTTTGTGCCGGGCACCAATACACAGTGCTGGACAGTGACGTCACAAAGTGGATACTATAATCCTCCAACGTACATGGACAGATGCTGAGACACAAAGAGGTTCTAGGTCACTTTGCCCTGGTCACTCACCCAGGACACGGCAGGGGCAGGACTGAAATCCAGGTGCACTCCAAAGCCCTCACTGTGGTGCCCTTGGGAAGCTCCTGGCACCCAACAAAGGAACGAAAAAATGAGGAAACGCAGGCAGCAAGAAGGAAAAAACGCTTTACTCCACTTCTTTACTGGGATCCCAAGTCTCCCAAAGTTAGATGGTAAAGTCTTTACAAGGCTGTAGCTCTCCCTCAGCGTTGCCTTGTCCTGGCCTCTGTGGAAGGAACTGGAACAAATCGCCCTCCACACCCATTCAAGCTGGGAGGACAGGCAGTAAGACAGCCCGGCTGGTTCCCAGCCGATCCCAACCCAGCACAGCCTTCGACTCTCACCTGAGCAGTGCAAACTCTCTGCCTTGCCAGTGGGCTCCCTTCTCCCTCTGCCCTTTAAAGCCCTACTTCTGGGGGCACCTGCGTTTCGGCTCAGGTGGTGATTTCAGGGTCAGGAGATTGAGCCCCGAGTCTGCTGGAGAGTATCTCTCCCTCTTTCTGCCCCTCCCACTTGTGCTCTCTCTCTCTCTAAAGCAAATCTTTTAAAAAAATAATAAAGTCCAAATGCGGATGGCTCAGCAGTCTGGCAGCCCCCCAAATCCCCTTCACCGTATCAGGGGCTGGCCTTGGTGGCCCTGAGTGCTGTCAGCTTGGAGTTCCTGGTGTTGAAGCTTCCCTCCCCCACCCCGTGTGACCCTCCCACTCGGACAAAGCAAATCCGGCCCATATATCACGGTTATTGCCTGTCTTATCAGAGGCAAAGCTGCAGTCGTGGAGCCACAGACAGCAAACGAGCCCCAGCAGGAGATTTACAGGTAGATGAGGAGGGCTGATTGTACGCCATGGGCCATAGGGCACTTTTAAAATAAAGATAAGAAAAATACATACTTACGGGAGTGCGGGAGGCTCGCTCTAAAAGATACAGAATCCCCAGGAGGGCAGTTCGGACTGGGATCGCCTTAATCTGCTGGAGAAGCTTTGACAACCCACCCATCCTGGAAATGCCCCTTTGCAGCAAGGAAAAGCTCTAGCCCTCGGCATGATGACTCTATGCCAAACGTCCTCGCCGTGAAGGTGAAACCTAGCATAAGCTCTTTGCCGTCATGTACAAAACAGCCGCAGCTGCCCCAGACCCAGCGTGGAGGAGCCAGTGAGAGCAGACCCAAGGGGTGAAGTACTTCTCACCGCCCGCAAGGTTCCCAGGACCTGGGAACTCCAGACCCGCACGTCCCCAGGAGGTGTGGGGATGGGTCACCAGCTCAGAGAAGGACAGCAGCACCAGCGGGATCACTGTCACCCATGGACAGAAGGCATGCCCTTTCCTCGGGCTGCCCCCAGACAGGCCGGACAGCTCCTTTAATGGAACTAGGGGAGCAGAGTCATGGCCATTATTAAGAGTGGCCAGGCCTTGGGCATTAGGCTGAACTCGCACACGTGACCCATCCATCCTCTCAGTTATGCGTTTAAAACCAACCACCTTTTCTTAAGTTAAACGTATCATGTGCACACTCATTTTTTAAATTTAGAATTCACGGTCTATAGGTTTCAGTTAACTCTGGGTCAGTCAAGAGACCTTAGGAAAATGGCCACTTTGCACAGTGGCTTTTGCATGGAAGGCCCAGGAGATTTTCCCAGGAGCCTCTGCAAACCCAGACCCCATCACACCTGCTTGGAATATACAGTCTAGGCTTTGACAGATCTGCACCTGTGCAAGTCAGAAAGGAGTAACAAATTGAAGCAAGACAGGTGGGAATGTTTTACCATGTTTAATGACACAGATCTTCCCAAAGGAATCCCAATCCCTCACAAAATTATTCACATTCTTATATACCCCAAAAGCAAAATACCTCAACTGCAATCCTGGCCCCAAGGTGATTCCTCAAAATGGAAATAACTCCTTGAGACATAAAAAAGGTAAAATAAGAATAAACAATAGAGTTAACTGATCAGAAAGTGAAAAGAAGATTGACTTGCAGAACAGAAAAAAAAAAAAAGACTTTAAATAAGTATGGGCATTTAAGATCTGAGACCTAAACTGAATCGAGGAATTAGACTCAAACCATTTCAGAAAACCTGAACAGCGACCGTGCCGGAATCCGCTTGAGCTGACTGGCCCGGGACGCCATCCCACTGGAATGGGCTTCCTCGAGCTGCTTATGTCCTTTGTAAGAGGTTCTTTTCTGGGCCTCACGTCACAGCCTTCACATAACACGGTACTTTTTTATTTTTAATGATGACTAGACATCAAAATAAAGGACAACTGTAGTCTCAGACACACCCAAACAGACAAGCAGGTGTAATCAAGCATTTGTCTGTTTTCCAAAGTGGATGAAATCCCTGTTATAACATACACACTTTTACTATGTGGCTGGAAATTGAGAAGAGAATAAATGAACTTTTATTTGGGTTTTTTTTTCCTCCTTTATTTATTAATGTTGTATTCCTAATTTACCTCACAAACCGATTACTGTGGTCCTAATGAGAGAAGGAAATTTGACTCTCACTGAATCCTTTAAAAACTAAAAAGGATTTAGGGTACAGTAGAGGAAAATGGCAGGTTATAACGCTCCCGTTTTCAGGCCCCTTGGCTCTGGGCCTGTCCGCACAAAGATAAATGCGTCTCCAGCCCCACGTCGTCGCGGCCCGTCCCCCTCCTCATGCTCCCTCAGTCTGTGTAAACATTTCCCCAGGGTGCCTTCTAGCTCATTTTAAATCTGGTTTTGGCAGTCATGTTTGCAGAGTATATTTACTTCAAGTAGCTCTTCCACAGAAATGTTTGGGGAAGGTTTTGTTCCTCTTATAAATGTATTAAGCACTGCTGGAAAAGGGGCGGGGGCAGGTGACAGAAGGAGTGGTTTAAACTACAGTCCTAAGAAACCGGGCTCCTCTTACAAATGTATCCTAGAAGGGGAACATTTAGAGCAAGATCTGAGTTCTCCAGATGTAAGGCTCCCTCCTCCTAAGTTGTCAGTGGACTTTGTGTAAATCAAGCCTAACACTAAAAAAAAAAAACAAACCAACCACAAAAAACATTTACCGAAAAGAAAATCAGGTTGACAGCCTTTTCCTGGAGGATTTTTCAGGTTATTCCTCTACATAGCATCCTCCTCTAGCTCATGTAAGATCTAAGCTGAGGAAGGAAGAAAGGAAGGAGGGAGGGTAGGAGGAGGGGGAAAGGAGGGAAGAGCAGAGGAAAGGGGGAGGCGGGAAGGAGGGAGGGAAAGGGAAGGGGCAGGGAGGAGGAGGAAGGAAGGAAAAATTTAAAAACTTTCCAAAAACACATCCAGTGGGACGCCTGGGTGGCTCAGTTGGTTAAGCACCGCCTTTGGCTTAGGTCATGATCTCGGGAATCCCTGCTCAGCAGGGAGTCTGCTTCTCCCTCTCCCGCTGCCCCCTCCACCCACTTGTGTGCGTGCTCTCACTCTCCCTCTCTCTCTCTGGAATAAATAGTAAAATCTTAAAACACACACACACACACACACACACACACACACACACAGTGACACAAATGAGGAGCACCTGAAAAGGCATCCTGACACTTTCATTAGAATTCCAAAAAGTGCTTTCTAAATGAAAAAGCACCTGCCACCCAACTACAGTTATTTTCTATTTGGAGCTCGAAACACATCGGCCAACTGTAACATGAATTCTCTGACTTGACAAGAAAATATGAGCCCCACACAGGAAACACTTTAATCCGTGACTCTTACCTGGGCACAAAAGACTGAGTACAGGGTTTGATTTGAAAGGGGTGAGACACTGGTGATTCGTAACAAAAGCTGTTGTTCCTTTCTCTAAGGACGTGTCAGTTGGCTCCCTGAGTTGTCCACGACACTCCTCCCACTCTCCTTCAGGTTCCCTTGTGCAGCTGGAAGTTTCACGCGCTGCACATGGTACAGAGAAAAAGGCAAACTGTCAGCACCCGGAGGAGAAGGTGGTGTCACTCGAGCCCAGTCCTGGCACGGAGCCCTACCTGGGATCACGGGGGTCTGAGCCGGCTCTACAGCCTCAGGGCGGGAGGAGGCCATATTAGGTAGCAGGACCCAGCAGCCTGTGACCTTCAGCAAGCTACCAGCCTTCTTTGCATCACATCAGGATGAGATAAGCCGAGTATCTACCTCTTAGTGTTCTCCTGAGGAGTACACAGCCTCCTGGGCTCACAGTGAAGGCACAGAAGCTGGGCTGAACCGTTAAGCCCGCCCCCATTCTGTTCCATGAATGGGATCATATTTTTGGGCACGGAGAGAGTCTGTACAGGATTGGGGGGGGTTGGTATTCCAAGTCCCCCATCTCAAGCCACCTGCAGGATTCTCCATCCTAAATGTGCATCAGAATCTCCCAAAGAACATTTTTAAAAATATCTTTTCCAGGGGCACCTGGCTCAGTGGGTTAAAAGCCTCTGCCTTTGGCTCAGGTCATGATCCCAGAGTCCTGGGATGAAGCCCCGCATCAGGCTCTCTGCTTGGCCGGGAGCCTGCTTCCCTTCCTCTTCTCTGCCCGTCCCTCTGCCTACTTGTGATCTCTGTCAAATAAATAAATAAAATCTTTTAAAAAAGCAAACTCAACACCCAAAGAACAAATAATCCAATCAAGAAATGGGCAAAGGACATGAACAGACATTTCTGCAAAGAAGACATCCAGATGGCCAAGAGACACATGAAAAAGTGCTCCACATCACTCAGCACCAGGGAAATACAAATCAAAACCACAATGAGATACCACCTCACACCAGTCAGAATGGCTAAAATTAACAAGTCAGGAAATGACAGATGCTGGCGAGGATGCGGAGAAAGGGGAACCCTCCTACACTGTTGGTGGGAACGCAAGCTGGTGCAACCACTCTGGAAAACAGCATGGAGGTTCCTCAAAAAGCTGAAAATAGAGCTACTCTACGACCCAGCGATTGCACTACTGGATATATACCCTAAAGATACAAACGTGGTGGTCCAAAGGGGCACATGCACCCGAATGTTTATAGCAATAATGTCCACAATAGGCAAACTATGGAAAGAACCTAGATGTCCATCAACTGATGAATGGATTAAGAAGATGTGGTATATATACACAATGGAATACTAAGCAGCCATCAAAAGAAATGAAATCTTGCCATTTGCGATGACATGGATGGAACTAGAGGGTATTATGCTGAGCGAAATAAGTCAATCGGAGAAAGACAACTATCATATGATCTCCCTGATATGAGGAAATGGAGATGCAACGTGGGGGTCTTAGGGGTAGGAAAAGAATAAATGAAACGAGATGGGATCGGGAGGGAGACAAACCATAAAAGACTCAATCTCACAAAACAGGCTAAGGGTTGCTGGGGGGAGGGGGGTCTGGAGAGGGGGGGGGGGTTATGGACATTGGGGAGGTATGTGCTGTGGTGAGTGCTGTGAAGTGCGTAAACCTGGCGATTCACAGACCTGTACCCCTGGGGATAAAAATACATTATATGTTTATAAAAAAATTTAAAAATTAATTTAAAAAAATCTTAAAAAAAAAATCCTTTCCAGGCACCACCCAAAGAGATTCCAATTAAATAGGTCCAGAGCGAGGCCCAGGGATCAGGAGTTTTCAGAGCGCCTCTAATGTTCACTGAGGACCACTGACCCAGGAATGTGCCCCATGGTTTGGGTGGCCAGTTACCACCTGTGTCTGTTGGACTGGAGAGACTAGAGGTCCTGGGATGAAGGGAGGGGCGACATCATCCATTGTATCAATCCCCATAAGCCACCAAACAATAGGACCCTCCGAGCTGTGACTGAGTCAGAGAGAGGCCCCGGGGTTGGAGCTGGGCATGTGCAGGCTGACCCGCTTTTTGCTTTGGTTGTAACACAGGTGAAGGGACCCCAGGGAGAGGAGGTACCACAGCTCCTGCCTGTCCACTGGGGACAAGTGAGGTTGGAAGCCATGCCAGCCACTGTCGCAGGACCTGGAGGCCAAATGAGCTATGACAGAGCAGAAACCAGCTTTCTCATTAATTTCTGTCCTTTTTTTTGTTTCTTTCTTGGTTTATTTCCATTTTGCTCCTCGTTAATTTTAGAAAGGTTTCTGTGCTACAGTTCTTGTCTGCGTCTGAGGACATAAGCCCTGAGTTCCTTGGCACCCTCCTAGGAGCATCCCTAGTGGGGTGGCTCCTGTTGGCTGGCCATGGTGGTGGGACACTCATGGGCCAGAGCTGGGGCCATCTGGTCAGTCTCTGCTCCCTTCTTGGGAGGGTTACCCTAAGGAAAACCAACTCCGATATGAGGGTTGGAGGAATGAGGTGCTAAGTGGAGGCAGGTCTGGGAGCAGAAGGCAGAGGGCCTGGGTCTGCCTGCAGGACCCAGAGGTGTCACAGAAGGGGGCCCTGGAAGCCCGTCCTTGAAAGCGGAGTCCCAATGAGCTCATGCCAGACAGGGACAATCAGATCCCACCCTTGGTAAGGACCATGACACAGAGACAATCACACCTTCTAAAGAGAACTAGGGCTGATCCTGGAGGGAGTAGGAACTGGTTTATGGGATTTGCCAGGGGCGTGGGGGGGTGGGGGGGGGCCAAAGTCACATAACACGAAATTGTGCTTATGTTTATAAAATGTTAACCATTTCAAAGTATACAAGGGATCATCTATTTTATACCAAAAGTACCAAGTCCCAAAACATCCAGAATAACGAGAAATAGATGTACTCCAACCCCCCGCCCACCCAGTTCTTCCACCTGTTCCCTTGTCAGACAATCGGATTCACTGTTATTGGCTCAAGAGTCACTGGCCCTTCTGCGCCAAGGTTTACTGTTCCATTTCCCCCAGGCTGGAGATCACTAGGAACCCAGGAGAGAGACGTCCGCTCAACAGTGAGTGCACAGAGGTTGAGAAGGCACGAGATAAGAACTAGAGCTGCAAGCAGGAGCGGGTCTTTGAGAAAAGCAAGGCGGGGGACAAAGGGTGGGAGCCTGCGGGGGCTCCTGCACATGCTCCTCCCAGAGCTGTCTTCCTGACCCCTGGGGGGACTCTAGCCGTCCCATCTCGGCAGCCTGATCTCCTTGTTTGCACCCTCCCTGGATTCATGGAGATACTCAGAGTCCTTCTAATAAACGCCCTGTTTGCTTAAGATAAACTGAAGTCACCTGAGTTTCCTTACAACCACCAACAGGTTCACCAACACGGCCCTCCAGCCCTGCCTCACCATGAATGAATGACCCAAATGTGGGGCGGATATTCCAAACCACTGGGTGGGAACTTGTGTCATCAAAGAAACCCATTTTCTGCCTTTATTTTTTTTTTTCTGTAAACTCCACCCCCAACATGGGGCTCGAACTCCTGACTCTGAGATGGAGAGTCACACGCTCCACTGACTGAGCCAGCCCGGCGCCCCAAGGAAACCCACTTTCTAAGACAGGAGTTACTCAATTTTTTTCTTCCCTTCTCTCTATTCCCTCCCACCAGCAACCACGTATCTGCTGGTTTTATGTAACTTGATGTCCCCCATGCTGAGAGTCAACACAGCTTGGCATTCAGCAATTACGTGGCCACGTTCCCATGGCGGTCATTACGTGGCCACGTTCCGTGTAACTGCCTAATAAATACCTAGATGACTATTTTGGCAACTGGAGCTTAAGTGGCCCAGAATCCATCCTTTCATCGACCAAGCAGAACGTTCTGAGGTAGAAGCTTGCAGAATGGGCTATTAGCGAGCCCTCCTCCACATTCCTTGGTGCTGATGGGGGAGAGTCCTGCCAGCCTGGGGGCAAGGCGGCTTGTGCCTAAAGCGCGAATGGCCCTTGAGCCAGACTTTCAGGAGCCTGACTACCATGAACACGTAGCGTATCATCCCACACGCCTTCATGGCTCAAAAAGGTTCCTAATAATTTCGATGTCTCTAGGCTGTTGTTGCTGCGTTCGTAAGAGCACAGGCTCCTCACAGGAGATGATCAAGGGTGATGTCCAAGACCCTGCTCAATTCCAAAGGGCTCCCTCTTTCACCCCAGGGCTCCCCTATCACACTCTAGGTTTGGGGAGACAATGGAATGTAATGCTTTAATAGCACGGTTGCTGGGGGCGCCTGGATGGCTCATTTGGTGAAGCGTCTGCCCTCGGCTCAGGTCATGATCCCAGAGTCCTGGGATCAAGCCCCACAATGGGCTCCCTGCTCAGCGGGGAGCCTGCTTCTCCCCCTCTCTCTCTCTCTGCCCCTCCCACCTGCTCATGCTCTTGCTCACTCTCTCTCAAATGAATACATTTAAAAAAAAAATCTTTTAAAAAATTTTTAACATAAACAACAACAAAAAAAGCAAGGTGTCTGAAGCCAGACCACCCAGGTTCATATTCCCAGACATGCCATTCACTGGCCATGTGACCCTGAGCAAGTCACCTAAACCTCCCCATGCCTCAGTTTCCTTATCTGTGAAATGGAACTAATGGTAGAACCTACTTCATAAGGGTGTGGTAAGAATTAGGTATTAACTCATCTGATGCATGTGAAGTGTTGGCACCAGTTCCTGGACTTGGGAAGTGCTTAATAAGGAAGAGATATCATAATTCCAGGCCCAGATAGAAAGGGATGAGAAGAGAACACCTCAGGAATAACGTCACTCCACAGTGTGGCCAACTACTGACCACAGACCTGAATTCTACAGCTGTCTCATCACCCCATTCCACACTCACTCATGAAAAAATATTTACCCAGTGCCGAGGTCATGTGCTACCAGGATCGTAGCAGGATGGCAGAAGGGGGAGTGAGGTTCTCACTCAGGGCCCACTCCCGGCATTTGGAGTTGACTTTGTCTATGTTCAGTGGGATTCCACTGTTGGGTGCCAAAACTGGCTACTAGTTAGCAGAAGGGACAGAGTCCCTGACCTTGGGAAGGTTTCATTAGTAGAAGGGGCAATCAGCCCTTTATAAAACCCATATACAAATATAACAACAAATTATGTCAGCTTTAGGAAGGGAAATGGTGGCGCTCTAAAAAGGTATGCCTTGGAGGGGAAGGAAGTGTCCTGGAAAGTCAAGAGACCAGAGGATAAAGAGAAATGACCCAAACAGGGTCAGGAAGTACTATTTCAGACAGAGCATAACAGGTGCAAAGGCCCTGTGGCAGGGAAGAGACTATTCAAGGAGTTAGAAGCGGTGCCACAAAAGAAGATGGGAGGGAGGCAGAGGAGAGAAAGAGAGACAGAGACAGGCCTGGCAGACCACAGACACACATGCTGTAGTCCTCCTGTGTGGTACTTGGGGTCTCCAACCCATCTCCTCTCCACCACATTTTCTAATTACTTCATCCTGACAGCAGGAAATTATTTAAGCCAATTAAAATAAGAAGCAGCACTTAAGCTGCTTACTTACAAAAGACAGCAGCTTAAAAATATCTCTGTTCATGCACTGGGTATGCCTTCACCAGGTAGCTTGGTCTTTCGATGATATACTTTGCTCCAGAGACAGAATATTCCTATAACAAAAGCCAAGCCAGCAACTGTGTTACACAGTGTAACATATAAATCATTACACATATAAATCAATGCTACTCAAATGTGTGCTTTTGCATTTAAGAGGCCTATGGACCGCATGTCTGCCATACATGGCAGTGGGGAGGGTTTAGTATCGTGTGTACACATACATGCAAATTCTCCCTTCTTTCTTGTTCTTCTCCCTCCCTCCCTTCCTTCCCTTCTTTTTACATTTTCAAAGGATTATTTTACTTGAAAAGACTAGAAATTAACAAAGCAAAGCCAACAACTTTGCCAAGAGGAAGCAAAGTAATTTACAACCCCTCCCTGTGAAAATCAATATTCGTTTATAAGAGTCGTTCTATAAATCTGGGCTATGCCTGTGTTTAAGTCAAGACCAAGATGACCCCTTTGACTATGACACAGTATCCTTAAATCCAACCACTGGGGCCACTGCTAACCTTTCATTTGAGTTCTTTTCACATGATGATGGGTCACTTGGCTAACTGCTGCTAGCCTGCAGTAGAAAAAGTACTGGGTGTATCTTATCTATGGGTCAGAAACACTCCCCAGATCCCACATGTCAAACAGCCAAAACACCCTATCAACTTTTAATGTTTTCTTCCATGTTGTAGCCTCAGACCACAACTTCTCTGGACTGGGGGATTCTTGTGCACGGTGCACAGGTCTGGGCTTCCAGCCGAGGAGACCATCTTCTCTCCTTGAAAGGTCCATGCTCCCCTTCCCTGCAGGACCTCCACCCAGCGGGTGCCACCCTGCAAACTCTCTGCAACTCATTGCTCAGATGGAAGCTCCCTGGTTTCTTCCTCCAGGAAGCCTGCCCTGATTCCCCACCAAGTCAAGTGCCCCCTTTCAGATGCTCTCAGGACACCAGGCCCCCTCTTTGGTAAGCATCACAATTTTACATTTAACTCTGTGGTTACTGGATTAATGTCTGTCTCTCCCCCCACCCCACTGCCCCAGCCCTAGACTGACGCCCCCGTTCCCATGTGATTTTGTCAGTAGAGATTCTGCTGTTTCAGAAGCCCTACCTTGTGCAGGTTTTGCTGAGCTCTGTGGGATGTCAGGAGACTGCACACCCTTTCATGGATCTTCCTCCAGGAGGACTGAGAGCAAGGGCGGAACCTGGCCAACACACAAAAGCAGGGCGGAGTATTATGCAGCTGCTAAAAAGGATACTTAGAGTACAGAACACAGTGGGTGGCTATTTATAACTTACTAGCAAGAAGCAGCAGGAACAAGCAATATACACAGTGTGCTTTGCATGTCTTCATTAACCATCCGCGTAAGATACACACTGACTATAAAAGCAACCAGAATGTGAAGAATGGTTGGTGTTTGAGTCTGTGGCTGTGAGTGATTCTTCCTTGTACTTTACTGGGCATTTCAGGTATTTCTCTCAATCCTTAGAAATTTCATCCATAAATGTTTAACACAAAATGTAACCCCAACTGTTTTCCGCCGCAAGGATTGTATGTTTCATCTCATTTACTTGAGGCTACTCAGACCCAAACATCACCACAGATGGTACCAGAGCCTTCCAGTTCCTCCGATGGGAGGCTCCCTTCCACGTCTGGCCAACCCTGCTCCCCCGGCCTGGAAGGCCGCCACCCCAACCATGATCCCAACTCATGTGCACCCTACCCACCTTCAGAGCTCAGTCCAATCACCTCCTACCTGCACTTGGGGTCCATTCCCCCTTGCTCACAGTGCTTGACCACTGACACCTGGTCAGTATTTGGCTCATGTCTGTGTCCGCCCCTAGACTGAAACTGGCACCGGGAATCCAGGGCCCTGTAGGTACTGAATACCACGTAGGTATTTAATATTCCTTGAGTCACTGAATTCATCCCTTCATTCATTCATCTTTGGGAGGGGGTGGGTACCAACACCTAAACTCTGAGGCAGAATGGGCCATTTGGTGATGAAGAGCACAAAGACCATTTTCCAAAGATTCTTAAAGAATTTCAGCAATTTGGGTGCAATCATTCTCTTTAGCTAATGTACGATAAACACTGGACGGTCCTGGGCAAACCAGATGGCCTCTCCATGACTATGCTATCCTTTGTCACAGTTTCATGGCCTAATTTACAAATTCATAGTCAAATTATTTCCAAAGCTCTCCATTTAGAGGGACTCTGGGCAAACAGAATTTGCTGATCCATCAGAGGTAGAGGATAACAATCTGGTCTGCAGCCAGAGTCATCATCCTACAGTCAAATGTGCTAACTCCCGAGAAGGAACTTGCAAAAACCCCCTGCTGCCATCCAACAAAACCCAGACTCCTTAGCTCAGCTTCCCCAGTCCCTCAGGCTCTTGGCCTTGGCACCCACTATTCCCGCAAGCTTGTCTAACTTCTAGACACCACCAGGGCCCCCTGCCTTCTCACCGCCCATCCCTCCCCTCCTTCAACTCCATCATAATCCAATCCCCTCCCCTCAAGGCCCCCATGGAAATACCCCCTCCTCCGTGAAGCTTTCCATCAGTGCCTTCCCTCCTCCTCCTTTCTACCCTGATAACGTTTGGTCCATACTATTCTCAGAGCCCCGCCTGACAGAAAGCCCTCTGGGCGCATGTTTTTAAATCCTCTGCTAAGCTGGAAGTTCCCAGAGATCAGGAGAAATGTCTTAAATGTTAGGGTTTCCATTCCAGGCTAGCAGACCAGCTACCAATCCTGTTCTCCTCCAAGGCACTCTTCTGCCCACAGAGACACTACAGGCCGCCACACACCCAGCTCCAATCCCAAGGATTCTGCCTCCGTAGATAGGAGGTGAGTTCCTAGTGAGCCACAGCTGAGAACACTGGCCGGCTGCATAAAGACACTCAGGAGAGGCTGCTGAAGACTGCACAAGCCATCTCAGAAATCTATTTAAAAAGAAATGAGGCCGGGCGCCTGGGTGGCTCAGTGGTTAAAGCCTCTGCCTTCGGCTCAGGTCATGATCTCAGTGTCCTGGGATCGAGTTCCGCATCGGGCTCTCTGCTCAGCCGGGAGCCTGCCTCCTCCTCCTGTCTCTCTCTGCCTACCTCTCTGCCTACTTGTGATCTGTCTGTCAAATAAATTAAAAAAAAAAAATCTTTAAAAAAAAAAAAAAAGAAACGAGGCCTTCCTTATCTCCCTCTTGAGGAAGTTACCCACCTCCTGCTCTGTCTCTCACCCACTTGTGGATGGTCCTTCTGTTAAACGCATCTCATCCAGTGACATGAGTGTATGCCTGCCTCCCGGTCTAGTGTGGGAGCCACGGGCAAACAGGGACCCATCCTGACCATCCCAGTCCACCTGGTAGGAGCTCAGCAGAGGCAGCCCCAACTCCGTCCCTCAGAAATGTTCACTAGGCTGATTACGAGGAGTTTGGGAAAAGTATAAACACAGGCACATGGACAAAAGCTATAAGCTGCCCCTGATTCTGACAGCAGAGAACCATTTTGTACCTGTAAGAGAATGGCTGTTTGATCATCACACCCATTTTACAGATGGGGAAACCAAAGTCTAGAAGGTCTACAAGGCTGAGCACTTCTGTGAGATCACACAGCAGTTAGACACAGATGGGCACCAGAACTCACGTCCCCTGACCCACCAGCTGAAGGTCCTTTCCCGTCTCTGTTTAAAATCTTTACGTCCAGAGGCTAAGCCAAGAGGAGACGAAGGCCAAGTAGAGAGAGGGACGTAAATGTCTCTAACCACCTGTGTCTGCCTGCCAGGGCTGGTTTTTAAAAAATCTATTTCATGTTATTTTCCTCCCAAGAAGTAAGTAATCAGGAATTCACCATTCTTTAATAGATTTTACTAAAATATTTGACTTGGTCTCCTCGAGTCTATGATACAACATTTCAATGTAAATGTATTCTATCATTTCTGCAAAGCACTAAGAACGCACGGCCACTTTCTTAGTCTTAGTCAAACTTAATATAATTCCTATTAAAATTGCAGGACTTTCGTTTCATTGTGACTTTCATTCTGGGATTTACTACCTACTGGGTAGTACTACCTACTATACTACCTACTGGGATTTACTACTACTGGGATTTACTACCAAGTCCCTTTGTGAGCAATCGTGTCACTTGGATACGAGACTCTCTCTCCTTATTGTCATGACTAACAGTGCAGAGAAGAGGAGACCGGCATAGTCCTCATTCAGAACAATGGTTTGTTTTTTGTTAGTTTTTTTTTTTTTTCCCAGAACAACTGTCTTAAGAAAGACAAAAACCATGTGCTCTCATCTGTAGATGGAATTAAGGAAGAACACAAACAAGCTCACAGCTACAGAGACCAGACAGCTGGTGGCTGGACTCCGGGGGTCAGGGGAGTCAAAAGGACAATTTCCTGTTATAAAAGAAATATAGAGACATATGCGTGGAGACTACAGTTAACACCATTTTGGATATTTACAAGTTGCTGAGAGAATAAATCTTTTTTTTTGAGAGAGAAAGAGAGAATAAATCTTAAGAGTTCTCAGCACTCTGTAGAAAAAACAAAATTCTGCAGCTACGTATGGTGACCGAGGTAAACTGGGTTTACTGGGATGATCATTCTGCAATATACACTAAAACGGAATCATTACTCTGTATACCTGAAACTAGTATAATATGTCAACTATCCATTTTTAACAACTGTCTTAAAAATGTTATCTTCAGTGCCATTTTCCCGGAGCTAAGGTGACCAGACCATCCTGGCTTGCCTGGGAATCAGGGGTTTCCCAGAATGCAGGACGTCAAGGGCTAAAGTCACAGTAGTCCCAGGCCAGCTGGATGGCTGGTCATTTTACCAGATGGTACAGTCTGGAAAACAAAGGTCCCTCTCTCGATTTCTGGTCTGCCTGCCACATATACGCAACTGGGCAGGAGGTGGGGAGTGTTATTTGTGACAATCCTACACATAAGCCAAGAAAACATGTCCAAAAAAAAAAGAGAAAATACACCTACATGTTAATAATCTTTGCCTTTGAGTGGCAGAACTATGGGTGATTTTTTTTTCACTCCTTTTGTTTTTTTATGGAAGACAAAAATGGATAGATAAATAGCACCTATGCCAAGTTAGCTGTTAGTCCCATTTTCTTTTTTTTTTTTAAGATTTTATTTATTTATTTGACAGACAGAGATCACAAGTAGGCAGAGAGGCAGGCGGTGGGTGGGGGGAGGAGCAAGCTCCCCACTGAGTCGGGGCTTGATCCCAGGACCCTGGGATCATGACCTGAGCCTAAGGCAGAGGCTTAACCCACTGAGCCACCCACGCGCCCCATGTTTGTCCTGTTTTCAACAAACATTCTGAGATATGCTTTCCACAAGCGAGAGAAAAGGCTTCAACTCTTCCTTCTGGGAAGACTTAAAAACGAACACTAATTTTTCATATCAACAGCTGAATAACCCTAATGAAGCAAGCGATGGAGTGACCAGGCTTCACTCCTGCTAGACCACAACACACTTTTCGCACAATGAAATAAACAGGGGGCTTGCTGCTGACCTTTCATCGCAGAGAAGGGGCTCATCCAGAAGAGGGCTGGCGGATCTGGAATGCTGGGAGGTGGCAAGCGAAGCTTCCCTGAGGAAATCGGCATCCCCATGGTTACTGTAACTGGGCGAGGGTTTTCCGAACTTACTTGAATCGAAGGGTGACGATGATTCTTTCCTTAAAACAATCCGTTCATCTGGCTCTTTGATAACCTAAGGAACAACATGCATGATTCTTCAGCTGTGATTTTGTTTTCGTTTGCTGAATTTAGAGCTGGAGGTAGATGGGGTGGGAAGGGGACAAGCGGATAGAGGGCCTGCCCCCCCGGGGAGCTCCCCCAGTAAAAGAGGAGCAGGAAGTGGCAGTGTGAGAGACAAAATGCTCAGAAGCTCAAGGTCAAGGAAAGGTAACCAAAATTCTGCACATTTGGCATATATCCACAAGCCAAAAGAAACTCATGCTCTGAGGTTTGATTTATGAGCATATGGGATTATCAGGTTTGGTGAAGACATCATTTTTTAAATAAACTATTTAAATGCCACGGCATGAAAAGCCCCATATACTCCATTCTTTGCCTGTATCTATTTTCATGTTGGAACATCGAAGTTTGAGCCTTCATCTTCCCAAACCAATCAAACTTCAAGAGCAAGTGACTTACCACCTCTATGTATTATGCAAGTATTCGCTTAGGAAAAAAAGCAGGAAGAACACCTACTGCTGAAGCAGGTTCTGGGGCCACATGCAGGGGGATTCATTCCACAGATGAAGAGCGCGTACGTGAGGGGGACAAACCAACGAGCACAAAGCACACAGGAGGGCCCAGGCACCGCTCAGACTCTGCTGAGACTCCAGCAATCCATTCCCATGAGCAGCACTTGCTAGCAGTACACTTCCCACCACTCGTCGGGGAAGGCACAATAACCGCCATTAGAGCGGGAAGTAAGTCATTTCACAAATGCTATTTCTACAATTACCTTTACGTTAGCGGCAAGGCTGTCAAGAGAAGCAGCTAGAAGAAAGAGGAAGAGGTATTTCAGTGACTCATTACGACCAATTACCCCTAACACCACTGTGACATTTGTTCCACAGAGCACGGAAATATGACATGGGGATGAATTATTAAAGAATTTAAATGCTCCCTTGTAAGTTATGCTGTCAACTTTTACATGTCCCTTCAATCACTGCGATCCTATCTAGGAGTGTTTCTGTCCTCCTGAGGCCCGATGAAGTTATGTTATTAATGACAGCGCACAGGGATGTGGGAAGGGCAAAGGAGAGCCCAAAGTGAAGCCATAAACTCGGTCATCCGTACACAGCCCGGAAAACAAAAGTCGTACCGGCCCAGGCACCCAGAGCCTGAAAGCAAGCCAGGTGGCCGTCAGATAAATAAAATGCATCTACCCTGCCTCTTCTGTCATTCCCTGCCTTTGGTTTACGTGGAACCCTATTTATGCAGGAATTCTTGAGCATACTTGTCCAAGGTAGACACAAAGGTTAGGTAGAGACAATAAAGAGACAAGAGCTGGGGAGAGCATAAGGCAGGAGAGGTGCACAGCGTAATCATTACCCTGAACGATCCTAAGTTAAGCAGACCTAATGCCAGAGGGTGGTGAGAATGACCAGGAAGTGATATGATAAACACACACAGGCAGAATCAAGACTAAATTGGATTTTTCCAAATTCAAAAAAAAAAAAAAATGCTTTTGGAAGGAGTCTTTGCAAGGCTAGGCCAAGGCCACTGGGCCTTCCCCCTCTGTGCTTGGGGCTTAGGCAGTGACAACCGGCTTTTCGAGGATTGCTGATGCCACCATGCCACTAGCAGTAAGAGAGATACAAAAAGGGCTTTTTTCCAGCCCAGCGCTCACAGCCTCCAGACACAACCGTGGGTGTGTCTGTCTTGTCCCAGAAGCTGTCTTCTCCCCAGCTCCCAGCTGAGCAGGGGGGCTGGCAATGCTAAGGCCCTTTACAGCCACAGCCACAAATGTGCCTGTTGCCTAGAAACCCCCTTGCAACTGTTTGGAGCACTCCCTTTCACAGGGGGATAGCCCTTGTTCCGTTGTCTCTCAAAGTGCAGTCCGTGGGCCAGCCACATCATCACCTGGAAGCTTGCAAGAAAAGAGGGCTCCCAGGTCCCACCCCAGCCCTGCTGAATTAAAATCTACTCTTGAACAAGACCCCCAGGTGATTCAAATGCACATTCAAGCTTAAGCAGCACTGCTTTCGTCTACCTTAGGCCTGGATGAATGAGCGGACAGGTGACCTAAGCAAAGGTCTGGCTTGGAAGCTACGGGGACTCCAGCTGAGAAACCAGAGGTCTGAACGTCTTCTCTAAATGTAGGTATGCCAAACACTGGGGGTGTGACCAGTGCACACTCTGTAAGCTCTCTGGAGCCTCCCTTCTCCACCTGCCAGGATTAAGAAAAGACAAAGAGGCCAAGACCGGTGTGATGCATGAGAGCCCCATCGTAACCGAGCCAGCATTAAGCCCAACATGTCGTCCCCAGGAAAGCATGTCTGCCGTTGCCTGATTTCACCATAACAGGGAAGGCAGTGCTGCTTGTATAGGAGACATGGGTGATTTTCAATCCAAAGGACTTAAATTAAATGTCAGAGGTGACAAAGCACCTTCTGCTTCAAACCTTGCACTCTGTCCTCGGTGGGCTGCTAACAGTCACCGTGATTCAAGAACACCGACTTGAGTTACCAAAAGAGACCATGTGGCCCCCTTTAAAGTACAAGCCTTTAAGCCTAAAATAGGGAACTTGTCATCAGGGACGGCCTAGGTCCAATTCCACCAGGAGTCAAGAAAACGGGCTGGCATTTCTAGCCTAAGAATTCTGATCAAGTTCCGGAATGGACGAACTTCACCAGCATGACCTTCAGAGCTTATATGGTGCGGGGGTTCAATCATAAGGTCAATGCCACCAAGAGATGCACTTACTCAGTGACTCTCAACATATCTTGTGTCCAGAGATCTCCCCAGGGGTCACCAAGAACTTTCAGGAGCTCTGCAAGGTCAAGACTGTTCCAATAACACTAAGACAGGACTTCTCTTTTTCTCATTCTCTCACAACTGTACGATGGAAGTTTCCGAAAGCTACATGATGCGTCATGACATCACCACTCAGAATGGCTAATGGAAGGTGTGCTTGTGTATTCCAGTATTTTACAAATTTCTCAGCTTCCATTTCTAAAATGTTAGATATTAATAGATCTCATCTATATAAACTATTAATAGATCTCATCCGTATAAATTAAAACAAAAAAACCTGTATAAACAATAATATTTAAGAAGGCAAAAGGGTCCTAACACCTCCACGGGTGGGATTCCCTGCCTTAACCTAACTGAACCTTGCTTCAGGCAGTGTTGGTTCCCCTCCTTCCTAACCTGGAAGGAGCAGAGGTTATGCCACCTGATCTCCACCGAGCTCCCACTCCTTCCCGTCCAAAGAAATGCCAAGCCTCATCTGTGAGCTCTCAGCGGTGCCTCTGACAAGCCGACCCCACGTGCCCGGCCCAGCCAGGGAGCACCTGCCGCAGAGCTCGCAGGTGATGGCGTGACAGGGAGCATAGCATGCTCCTGCAACAGCTCGGGGAACTGGGAAAGGGACAGCTTCTCCTCCGGCTCTGCTCCAGGGGAGCTCCCGCCCTGCCAACTGCACAACTGGACTCGACTTGAGAATCAGGCCTCGAGTTTCCAGAGAAACTCAGGATGGCCCAGAATGAAAGAAGATTTTGAAGGAGGATGCATTTGTTCCCACTGGGGAATGTACGGGCGTAACAAGAAACTCGAGTACCTCTTCTCCCCGGAAAAGGCAAGTTGGAAAACTTAAGTTTTCTTCTCGACTTTCGGGACTGATACTCTGAAATATTCTCGCCAAAAGGCTTTGCACTGTCCACCTGAAAGAAAGGAAGAAATACGATCTGAACCCACCATCGCTTGTGTTACCCTCTCCTCGTTACCTGTAGCGGCCTTCTCCCTCTCAGCTGTGGGCCACTCGGGTAAAAAGAGGCCGGGAACACATTAAATCCCAGTCTCCAGGCACGTTCAATGTTATCCCAACGAGGGAAGCTTGCTTCAGCATGAAGGTATGGGCTAAATGTTAGCATAAAGTCAGACATCAATGATATTTTAACCACAGGTTCAGGATCAAGCCCAGCAAAGAGCAAGTGGAGTTTATTTCAAAATATTTCAAAATAGGACAGAGTTTCATGGTCCTAAACAGTGAGCAGTGTGGGCCTAGATGGGATCCTCCCTGAAGACAAGGGATGATGACTGGCTGGTATTTCAGCCATCCACACTCCCTTCCCATGTGAGTGTCTAGAACCTTGAAAAAAAGAATAGTGGCAACTACATTATTTTAATGAAGCTGACCTTATGTTCCTGAATTGGACAAGGCAATCTGTAAGCCAGTCCAAACACTTGAAATAGGGACTCCTCCCAAATATTTACGACACAGAGTTGCAGGATTTTTTTTTTATCTTGCTTATTTCTTTTTTTTTTTAATTTCAAGCAGGCAAGTTATAACATTATTCTTCATCCTACTTTCAGAAATATATTGATTAGAATGTCCAGTCTTCACATTAGGACCCTCTAAATTTTAACGCTTCTACTTAAAGAAATGTCACATACGATCAGGAAATCAGGCTACATAAGAGTGAATCCATAGAAAGCATTTAGAGAAGGGTGTGGTACACAGTAGAGACTGTACGAGAATTTGTTAAATAAAATAAATATTAAGCCAGTTTTATTCCCTATGAAATCTACAAAGATTTTAAGATTATTTAGCCCAAGGGGCGTCGACTACTGTGTATCTCACGAAAATCTACTTCCAACGGAATGAAGCAGACTGCCTAATAAATTCAACTCAACCACAGTTTTATAGCACCGTGTTTAAAGACTGGTTGCTAGACTTTGCCATTTTTACCCAAGTCACTAGGAGGAAAACAGCTGTTCTATGGTTTCTAGCCAAGTAACCTCTGTTACAAACCAGCCCCGCACGCCATCGTCCCTGTCGCATCCCCACTGTCCCTGTCGCATCCCCACTTTGTGGCTGACCACGCTCTGTATCTTACATTCACGCGCAAACATCACCAGCAGGGATGTGAAGCCAAGTTATCGACTTGACAATAATATCAACAGTTAGTGACCAGAGTTATAAGAGCTCTCAGAGAATAAGTCATTAACCAGAAGGTGATATAAGAGATGCTTTTAAATGTCATATTAACCATGTATATATTGAGAAACTCGTCTGGATATCCAGTAGAACTACAGCTTTGGGGTGGGGGGGAACCTTATGGAATTGTAAAAAGTGAAAGGAAATGTACTCAATTGAATAAATTTTTTACTTTTTTTTTATGCTGGTGAGCCAATAGGTAATTTTTCTTTTTTTTCATTTTTTTCTACTTTCCATTACTCTCCCAGGCAACACAATGGCAGGAGGCTAGTGTGATTACATGTGCCGGCTGCTTCCTGGGGGCTACATCTAAGCCGGCGTTAATGAGGGCTGTGAGGAGGCCCATCGCCTCTACTTCCTGCAGACACGTTTGTCCTGCCAACAAACAACCACCTCATTTTAAAAACTCAAGCACTTTTTTCTATTGCTACAGAGCACACGTCAGCCTTTGTTATGTGTGTCTTCTACCCCTGCCAGTCCGCTGATCCTTCTGGATAAAAAAAACCAGCAGGTTGTCACAGGGAGAGATCACACTCTATTAATAATTTCCAAAAATTAAAAATAGGGATGACTGACATGTATTGAGCAAGTCCTCTGCATGAGACATCTTGGTATGACTTTCCTTTTTTTTTTAAAGATTTATTTATTTATTTGTCAGAGGGAGAGGGAGAGAGCATGAACAGGAGGAGCAGCAAGCAGAGGGAGAATCAGGTCCCCCGCTGACCAGGGAGTCCAATGTGGGACGCAATCCTAGGACCCTGGGATCATGGCCTGAGCCAAAGGCAGACGATTAACCAACTGAGCCACTCAGGCGTCCCTTTGGATAACCTCCCTGACAATGACTCTAGGCAGCGAACTTCAGCTAATCATAGTTATTATTTAATTTGAATTCCCTCTTTTTTTTTTTAAAGGTTTTATTTATTTATTTGACAGAGATCACAAGCAGGCAGAGAGGCAGGCAGGGCAGGTGAGGGGGAGGCAGGCCCCCCACTGAGCAGAGAGCCCAATGCGGGGCTTGATCCCAGGACCCCAAGATCACGACCTGAGCCGAAGGCAGAGATTTTAACCCACTGAGTCACCCAGACGTCCCAATTTGAATTCCCTCTTTAAGGGCACCTGGGCAGCTCAGTCAGTTAAGTGTCTGCCTTTGGCCCAGGTCATGATCCTGGGGTCCTAAGATCAAGTCCCACCTTGGCCTTCCTGCTCAGCGAGGAGCCTGCTTCTGTCTCTGCCCCTCCTCCATGCTTGTGAGCTCTCTTACTCTCTCTCTCTCTCTGACAAATAAATAAATAAATACAATCTTTTTAAAAAAATGAACAGATGAGTGGATCAAGGCGTGGCTCATATATACAATGGAATATTACTCAGCCATCAGAAAGGATGAATACCCATCTTTTGCTTCAACTTGGATGGAACTGGAGGCGGTTATGCTAAGTGAAGTAAATCAAGCAGACAAAGACAATTACTCATATGTGGAACATCTGAAATAGTGGGGAGGATCACAGGGGAAGGGAGGGAAAACTGAACGGGAAGAAATCAAAGAGGGAGACAAACCATGACTCTGGGAAACAAACAGAGGGTTACAGAAGGGAAGGGGTGGGAGGACAGGGTGACTGGGTGGTGGGTATCAAGGAGGGCACATGTGGTGATGAGCACGGGGTGTTATATGCCACTAATGAAACGTTGAACACTACGTCAAAAACTGACGACGTACTATGTGTTGGTTAATGGAACATAATAAAAAATACATTAAAAAATACTAAATTAAAAAACAATAAAATGTTTCCAGTTCAAAAAAAAAAAAAGAATTCCCCCTTTATTTAGTATCACCCACGTGTTCTTACGGCCCAGCCTTCCTGGGTTTTCTCCTCATTCGCACCTTCACCCTTCCAGACTCTGAAAAATAATTTAAGGCTCACATGTCTCACTACAAATGGAGGTTTGCTTCCCCCGGAGAGCCTGATGTTATTTCCAAGGTTCAGCTGAGCAGGCTGGTCGTGAAAGCAGCGTCGGGCGGACACGGGAGAGGGAACGCGGGTTTGCATGCTTTGGGGCAGTCTGTTGAGATTACTGTCCTTTGGCTTCCTCTTCGTATTATTTAAGGGGAGTTTGGGTCCATCTGTTGCAGATAAAGGCCTTCCTGAGTTATTATATCTTTCTTCCTGGAACAAAAACAAGAAATGCTGTTTTTAAAAATGGAAAATGGGGGGTGCCTGGGTGGCTCAGTGGTTAAAGCCTCTGCCTTCAGGTCAGGTCATGATCCCAGGATCCTGGGATTGAGCCCCTTGTCAGACTCTCTGCTCAGCAGCGAGCCTGCTTCCCCCTCCTTCTCTCTGCCTGCCTCTCTGCCTACTTGTGATCTCTGCCTGTCAAATAAATAAATCTTTTAAAAAAATAAAAATAAAAATGGAAAATGGGAGAAAAAAAGAAGAAAAATTCAATCAGGATAGAACTGTATTGAATGGAACTTTGTCTAACTCAGGAAGAAGACTGAACATCTCAGATTTGCCAAACATGAACTTAAGAAAGGGTGTTCTCGGGGCGCCTGGGTGGCTCAGTGGGTTAAAGCTTCTGCCTTCGGCTCAGGTCATGATCCCAGGGTCCTGGGATCCAGTCCCGCATCGGGCTCTCCGCTCAGCAGGGAGCCTGCTTCCCCCCCTCTCTCTCTCTCTGCCTGCCTCTCTGCCTACTTGTGATCTCTGTCAAATAAATAAATAAAAATCTTAAAAAAAAAAAAAGAAAGGGTGTTCTCTCCTTAGTTTTTCTTCAGCTCAGCTTAACATCACTTACTAGGCTGGCATCATATATTTCAAACAGTGAAAAGTTTTTGCATTAGGAGGAAGTTGGAAGGTATCAGACACCCCTCCCTCATCACAGATAGATGACTTGTTGGGGGGAGGGGCTGAATCAGGCATACATTCTGGCCCAGCAGTTTCACGTTAAGGAATTCATTATAAGGAAATAACTATGTATCTGTATAGCTACATTCTTTTTCTTTTTTATTTGAGAAAAAGAGAGAACGGGGCAGGGGCAAACGGAGAGGGAGAAGCAGATGTCCCTTCTCAGCAGGGAGCCCCATGAGGGACTTGATCCCAGGACGGTAGGATCATGACCTGAGCTGAAGGCAGACATTTAACCGGCTGAGCCACCCAGGCGCGCCAGCTACAGACATTCTTATAACCATTCAAACAATGAGAAATCATTTATACTGGTAAGCAATTTCCTCTCTGCTCCAGACCCACGTGGCTGATACTCAGCTTTGGGATACGGGGGCAAACCCTTCGGTTCGGCCCGCCATTCAGCAGAGGCTCCACCACTAGGAGGCGCCAGAGGGAAACTGAAAACGGGAGGAGGAAGCCAGGACTCCCGCCGAGCGCGGCCTTCTACTCCGTGAGCGTCACCCCAGCCACGGGGCTTCACCGTGAGAGAGGCACACGCGGCCAGTGTTTAGTTTTCGCCCCAATAACCCCAGACCCGGCCTCAGTGCGCCCCGCTCAGATCTACCAGCACCAGCCGGCCAGGGTCCCCTGCTCAGAGCTTTGAGTCCTGCCCCACCGGACCCTCCCTCCAAGCTCCAGAGGCACCAGCAGTGAGCACTGTCCCTCCAAGAGGTCCGAGTCTCACTCAGCAGAGCCCCGTCTCTAAACCCTTGAGGAAGCACCGGGGCAAGCAGCCCCTCCCCACAGCTCTGGTCCCACCTGTGTGGGGTCTCTCCCTCAGGCTCCTATGAGCTTAATGACCCCACCTCTTCCTCTCATCCCTCAGCCCCAGGGATGGAAGCCGCTTCCTCAAGTTACTATGTCTGTCACTTCGTGTCCCCTTTTACCCTCAGTCCTTCAGTCCTTTAATCCCTGTTTGGACTTTTAAAAAAAAATTAATTAGATCTTTTTACTAAAAGAACAGGTGTGGTTTTGTTTCCTGACCAGACTCTGACTACTGTATCAGTGAAGAACCCAACAAGAAAACCATTGGCCAAATCATGGTACGTCCATACAACGGCCAATTATGAAGCTGTGAAAAACTGCATGGCCTAACGATACTTAAGGATGTGAGAAATGGGGCACCTGGGTGGCTCAGTCATAAAGCATCTGATTCTTGGTTTCTGCTTAGGTCATGATCTCAGGGTCTTGAGATCGAGCCCCACATCAGGCTTCACACACAGTGTGGATTCGGCTTGAGATTCTCTCCATCTTCTACTGCCCCTCCCCCTCCTCGAGCTCTCTCTCTAAAATAAATAAATCTTTTTTTTTTTTTTTTTTTTAAAGGATGTTAGGGGCGCCTGGGTCGCTTAGTCATTAAGCGTCTGCCTTTGGCTCAGGTTATGATCCCAGGGTCCTGGGACGGAGCCCTGCATCGGGTCCTTGCTCGGCAGAGAACCTGCTTCTCCCTCTGCCTGCCACTCTTCCTGCCTGTGTTTTCTCTCTCTGTCAAATAAATAATAAATAAAATCTTTAAACAACAAGAAAAAGATTGTTAGAAACATGTTTGTGCAGTATTAAGTGAAAAAGGAAAAATACAAAATCATATGCAGTATTGCATGATCCCGATCTTTTAACATTAAAATAATGTGTGTGTGTGTGTGTGTCTGTGTACAGAAGAATATACTCAAAAAAATGAGTCATGCTCATCTCTGCATAATAAGGATGAGAGGCAGTTTTTATTTTTATTTTGTCTGTGTTTGCTTATCTGCATTTTCTGGTATTCTAAACTAAATACTTTTGTTATGAGGAAAAAAATGATAAGAGGTACTACTTTAAAAAGTTAAGACTTAATGAAGACCGATATTAAGAGGCCAAAACAATATTAAAATGGCAGAGTAGAAGAGAGAGACAGACTGAAAAAAATCACTGTGTGGGGTGCCTGGGTGGCTCTGTGAGTTAGTCTCTGCCTTCGGCTCAGGTCACGATCCCAGGATCCTGGGATCAAGCCCCGCATCGGGCTCTCTGCTCAGTAGGGAGCCTGCTTCCTCCTCTCTTTCTCTGCCTGCTTTTCTGCCTACTTGTGATCTCTGTCTGTCAAATAAATAAATAAATAAATAATCTTTTTAAAAAATAAACAATAAAAATCACTGTGCACCCATATCAGATTGGAGAAAATAGTGGGTAAATAGGGAGAAACTAAAAAGCAGCCAATGCGGGGGTGCCGGGGTGGCTCAGTCACTTAGCATCCAACTCTTGATTTCGGCTCTGGTTGTGATTTCAGGGTCATGAGATCGAGCCCCACATCCAGCTCTGTGCTCAGTGTAGTTTGCTTGGGATTCTCTCTCCCTCTTCCCTCTGCCCCTCCTGCTCATGCTCTCTCTCTCTTTCTAAAAAATGAATTTAAAAAAATTTTTTTAAGTAAAAAACAGCCAATGCCTTCCAGAATTAATCATTGGCCTCCTGAGTTGTGATGCCCAGAGGACTGATGGCTTTGCACGGATCAGTGACCCTCTGCATTCAGTAGCCCTTAACCCATAGTCTACACTTTCAAGGATTTTCCAGGACATCCAGGCAACATTTGGGATGACAAGCAAAGTCCCTGAAGAAGCTTTACAAAGTACATTCATTCATTTTCCATATTGTTCTAGAAGATATTTTAAATGGTTAAAAATTATGTACAATAAGGTAAAAAGAAACACCGAAAGCAGTCAGCATGACAGAGAAATGGAAGAGTGCTCAAGGATGCTCCAAGGCCCTTCGTGATCGCCAAAGACAGCCCAGAAACACAGCTCTGTGCTGCAGCCTCAGGAGAAGAATGAAGGGACACTATTATTCAAAGGATCAAGGGCAAAAGTCACAGAACAGGAACAAGAAAGCTAAGCAGCTTGTGATTTTAGCTTTTGCATCTCTTCCACCGACGAGACCATGATGAACACCTGTCAAAAGCACTCGGTCAAATGTGATAGGGCTGAACAAATAATTTGAATATGGAAATTCAAACCCAGCAATAAATCTCCAGGTTTCTATTCATCTAGTTGCATTGAAACTTGGTGATGGGCTGAAACTCTTTAAGTCTGTGGAGAAAATTCCTGACAGTTCTATCACTGGGTTCTTGGTTATACTTACAGGAAATCTGTTTCTTTGTAGAAACACACGTTCTCTGATGGCTGTCCTTGTAGAAAACTCTATTTTGGGAGCAATGCCCTAAAAATAAAACAGCATAAAAGAAGCAAATAAAATTATTGGAAATAGATTTTTGGCCCACATCATCTAACTTGAAAGCAGGTAAGCACTTAATTACTTTTTTGTGTGGTTGGCATAATCCACACATATTACCTATAATATACACATAACAAATATATATATGATAAAATACTATTCAGCCTTTAAAAAGAAGGAAATCCCAACTTTTATGACTGCATAGAATAATCTAGAGGACATCATACTAAGTGAAATAAGCCAGACACAGAGAGACAAATATGGTGTGCCTTACTTATGTGTGGGATCTAAAACAGTCAAACTCATCGAAGCAGAGAGGAGAATGCTGTTCCCAGTAGGGACTGGAGGATGGGGGAAATGGGGAGATGGTGGTCAAGGGCACAAAGTTTCAGTTAGTTATGCAAGATGATTAAGTTCTAGAGGTCTAGCTGATGTGTAGCAAGGTGACCATAGTTAAAAATACTATACTGTAAATTTGAAATTTTCTACGAGGGTAGATCTTATGTATCCTCACTTCAAGAAGGAAGGAAGGATGAAGGAAGGGAGGGAGGAAAGGAGAGGGAAGGAGGGAGAAAGGAAGGGAGAGGGAGGGAGGGAGAAAGAGAGAGAGAGAAAAGAAAGAAAGAAAAGGGAGAAAGAAATAAAAAGGAGAAGGGGGGAGGAAGAAAGGAAGGAAGGAAGGAAGAGGGAGGGAAGAAAAAAAAAGAAAGAAAAGGCTAAATGAGTAATAAGTGATGGATAAGTTAATTAGCTTGATGTGGCAATTATTTCACATTGTGTATCAAAACATCAAGTTGTATACCTTAAGTGTATACAATATTTATTTGTTGATTATACATCAATAAAACTGAAAAATAAAACATAAGCATAATGAGAAGAGCTACGCCCCGTGTAACATGCAATCTTGTGCCAGGCCTTGACCTAAGTGCTCTGCATATAACAACCCATTGGATCCTCCCAACAACCCCGCGAGGTGGAGCTCCAGAATCCGGACTCTGTGGATGAGTAACTAAGTCAGCTGACCGCTGGTAACGGCAGGGCTGGTCGCTGGACCCGGGCGCTCTGGCTCCAGCGTTCATGCCATTAGCTATTCTCTTTAATGCGCTGACCCGTAGGATTGAGTGACATTATCTGGGAAGAGCGATACCCAGAGGTCCTCCTTCCCCACCTGCTTTCTTTGAAAAACATGCTTTGTATTGTACCAAATATTTATGTTCATTAGGTCTATTCCCAAGCTCTCCGTTTTGTTTCATTGATCGGCACTCCTGTCTCTGACGGGTACCACACTGAATAATGTACACGTGCATACAGATGCACACAGGCACACACAGTGCACACAGGAGCACACAGGCGTACGCAGATGGACACAGACACACACAGGCACACACAGACATACACACACACAGACGCACACAGACATACACACGCACACACAGACAGACACAGATGCACGCAGGCACACACAGACGCACACACACATGCGTGCACACAGACGGACACAGATGCACACAGATGCACACGGATGCACACACATACACACACGTGCACACGGACACAGATGCACGCAGGCGCACACAGATGCACACGGACGGACACAGACACACGGTCAGTGGTAATGAAGAACAGACTACTGACACACCCCATCACATGGATGGCTCACAATGGCATTTTTCAAAGTGAAAGAAGCCAGTCTCAAAGGGTTGTAGACTATGATTCCATTTACATGACCTTCCAAAAAAGGCAAAACTTCTAGTCCCCTGATGAAGAACAGACCAGTGGCTGGGGTAAGGGGCTGTCCGACCCTGAACAAGTCACCACCTGAGGCACCGACTTGTGCCACTGTCTCATCGCCTTGCGGGGAGGCCGTGTTAACCTCTGAATGACAATATGACAAACTGTAACCGCTCACATCATGTACTTGCCTGTACTTCCAGACAGCATGCTAAACCCTACACATAGATTTAACCCTCATTTAACCCAATGGGGGAAGGATTAGTATCAGCCCATTTTATAGGTGAGGAAACTAAGGTACACAGAGACTAAGTAATTTACCCAAAGTCACAGTCACTGAGCAACAAAACTGGGACTGAACCCAGGCAGTCGGGGTCCAGCCTTAACTTCTGCACCTGTGGCTGTCTAGCTGGCCTTCAGGACCCTGCTCTATGTTGCCTGGAGAGGAGGAAGAGGGTGCCCTACCTGCCAGGAGTCCACACCCTGTAACACATTCTTGTTCACCTCCTAGAACCTCCACCCCTGACAATGACTTACAGACAATCAGGAGGAATGTACTTCCTTTTTCACAGCAGTACTGATTTTAGCTTAATAGTTTAGAGCTGAAATCTATAGGTTTTCTCTTGTCCAGTTTCCTTAGCAACGGGAGGAAGGTGGTAATGGTTAGGTCAACAAACAGATTTCACAGTACAATTTTTCAAGAATTCCAACACCAAAGGAAAAATGAAATGATTAGCTACAAGTTAATAATTAAGAAATAATAATATTCTTTCTGCTTACTTTACAAAGTCAGTCTTCACCTAACAAGAAAACAAATTATATTAAAAAAGAAAATTCTTGGGGCACCTGGGTAGCTCAGTGGGTTAAAGCCTCTGCCTTCGGCTCAGGTCATGATCCCAGGGTCCTGGGATCAAGCCCTGCATCAGGCTCTCTGCTTGGCGGGGAGCCTGCTTCTCTCTCTGCCTGCCTCTCTGCCTATTTGTGATCTCTCTCTGTGTCAAATAAATAAAATCTTAAAAAAAAAAAAAAGAAAATTCTTGGGGCTCCTGGCTGGCTCAGTCGGTACAGCATGCGACTCTTGATCTTGGGGTCATGAGTTCAAGCCCCATGTTGGTCAAAAAGCTCAGTTTACAAAAAAATCAAATTATGCAAAAAGCCCAAACAAAGCAAAACAAAAAAAATTCTTGACCTTGCCAAGGAAAGGAAGGAGAAAAAGCTGTCAAGGTATCAAGTGAAATAAAATGAAATGTGGAAATACAAAGAAAAAGTCACACTTCTATGGAGGAAATAAGTCTAATTTTTAATGAAATAATAAGAGAAAACAAATGAATGATTTGCCTGACTGGTACACATAATCCACACTCACGTTCTACAATATTAATGAAGAGAAAGTGGACACTGGGCTGACAGAAATGTGAGAGAATCAGCCTCTCACTGCGACCAAGCATGCTGACTTTGAAGTCCGACAGGCCAGCACGATAATCCTCTCTGGGAGGCTTCGAGCACATTAAACTCCCTGCGTCACCTTCCCCAGCCACAAAACCGGAAAAGAATGGCAGCCACCTTGCAGGGTTAAGGAGGACTGAACAACGTCAGTCATGTATCAAACTCAGCACAGTTCCTGGCATCGAGTGAGTACTCAGCGAAGGTCAGCCTTCATTAAAACTACGCCAACCGGTTTTATTTTGCCTTCTAGAACATTCGAGAAAAACTGAGCTCCTCTATCTTTTTCCAAATTGTTTTAAACATAGTTTCATTAACTTTACTGATACTTTACCCCTAATGCATGAGGATATTTCCCAGCAGTTTTCAAGCCCTTTCTCTGATGATTACCTGCGTTTATGAGTAACTAAACACAACTTCCTATATGTTCTTCTTCCTACTTGTGCTCACAAAGTTAAACAGAGATGACATTTGGGAGAAGATAAGACCGTGTGTTTCTCCTCGTCTTGATACCCAGCTGGATACCAGCCCCGTGTTTGCAGATGGCTTTGACTTAATAGAAAACTCAGGCAAACCACAGTTAATATGAAGAGTAACCCCCATGTGATGGGCACCGGTTTTTATCCTTTTAGCTTCGGGAGAGCAGTATACCAATAGCTCTAAATAACAAAGGCAAGCATTCTCACAAGTACCACGGATATAAGTGACAGACAAAGAGAGTATCTTTGAGGGGAAAAAATGGTGTCTGTGATCTTCACTAAACCATCATGATTGTGGAGGGTTTAAAAGTTATGCTCAGAGGCGCCTGGGTGGCTCAGTGGGTTAAAGCTTCGACCTTTGGCTCGGGTCATGATCCCAGGGTCCTGGGATGGAGCCCCGCGTAGGGCCCTCTGCTCAGCCGGGAGCCTGCTTGCCTTCCTTTCTCTCTCTCTCTGCCTGCCTCTCTGCCTACTTGTGATCTCTGTCAAATAAATAAATAAAATCTTTAAAAAAAATAAAAGTTATGCTCATTAGCAGTTCGGAGGAGGACAACTTTGGATGAATGTTTGTTGCTTTAAATATTAGAAGTTCTGTCACCATAAACATCACAGAAACAAGGGTCCTTCGTGTTACGTATTCTGCACCGTACTCTCAACAAAACAGGAGGCAATGACATTTTATGAGAGTATAACTACAGCGATTCATGGGGGAGTAAGAGCAGGGGTGAGTATTAAACAGGCTTTTTAAATTCATAAAGCTGTGGCCCTTCCAACAGAGGCCCTCTGAGTAACATAAATGTTGAGGAAACTGTCAGAGCTGCTGTGGGGTTAGAAACCACCAGAGATACCATCAAAATGAGTATGCCGAGTTTGGGTTCAGGTAATGCCCCCCAAACAGACTGCCAGGGGAGTAACTGCTGTTCGTTCAAGATCCTTCCATAGTCTCACTGTGAGCCTCTGTCCCTTTCCCTTCCATTAAGTGGAGACTCTGAATCTGCCTTGGCTGACAGGAGAGAGATCACGAGGAAAATATCATACCAGAGGCGGGGCGCCTGGGTGGCTCAGTGGGTTAAAGCCTCTGCCTTCAACTCAGGTTGTCATCCCAAGGTCCTGGGATCGAGCCCCACATCGGGCTCTCTGCTCGGCAGGGAGCCTGCTTCCTCCTCTCTCTCTCTCTCTCTCTGCCTGCCTCTCTGCCTACTTGTGATCTCTGTCTGTCAAATAAACAAATAAAATCTTTAAAAAAACAAAAACAAAAAACATACCAGAGGAAAACTCAAAAGCTCAAAAGAAATGAGAGGCAGCATTATTACTCTCACGACTCTATTTTCTTCCATTATCACTACAGAAACATCAAGTCTTTCCGTTAATCTGCATTAAGAGGAGGGGGGAAAGCATCCTTGGAAGTAAGTGACAGTATGAACAAGGCAATGATTTGGCCTGATAGGTTAAGACACCCACACCTCTCAGATCAGCAGTGGGAATCAATATAATCGGGGTTTTGAATGGGGCATCTAAACGGGGCCACTAGGAGTACCAACTGAGATGCCATGATCTGCCCAAGAACAAGCCCTATCAGAAATAAGATGTCCAAGTCCCAAGAGTCTCTCCCCACTGAAGTCCGGCTGGGCGTGAACCACTTACTGGAAACCCCGCGATTGTCTTCATGAGCACCTCCCGGCACATCCCAGGGAGCGAAGGTGTCAGCTTGGGTTCAGGGAAAAGGAAATCCCGTGTGTTTTCTTCATAGCAGGCCAACTCCTCCCATACTAGAAAGAAAGGAGAAGAGCCATAAGTAGATTTACATTCTCAAAATGATCTACATTCCCAGGTTTAACAAAATAAAAGCTCATACAGGTGACAGCTCAGATGGCACTCAGCTAAAAATAGACATTTTGATCAAAGCACCTGTAATTTAAGAGGTGGAGTAGAAGAGACTTCTACTACTTCTTATCTCATGGATCATTTTTAAAAGCCTTCCCACGTCATAAAAGAGAATGAGAAAAAAACTAAAGGATTGCTCCGCAAAACAGAACAAAGAGAAAAATCTCTTTTCATCCATCCATCCGTCTGTCCATCCATCAATGCATCCACCCATCCTTTCCTTCAACAATGTTTTCTAAGGACACATCTTGCGCCAAGTCCTAGGGATAGAACAGGAACAAGGCAGACAATGCCCCATTCACGAAAAGGTTACAGCGTAGACTGGGGGGATGGGAGGATGGAGGTCAATGTGTCCTCTGATACAGAGGTACCAGCATCCCCATGGCCCATAGAACAGCCAAAGCTGTGGTTCTTAGCAGGGCTGGTACCAGCCACAGGGACATTTCCAAAAATTTGCATGGTAAGATGTCCTGTGATGTTCAAGATGTTCCTGCACAACATTCTAACATCATAACATTCTTTCAGGTGAGAAGCTGTTTTGTAATTGGCCGAGCCTGGAACCTCACTGTTACATATGAACATGGAGCACTTGCTTTGCATGATCTTAACATACACTGAATTTTCAGGAAAGCAGCTACCATGTAAACTAAGGGTCATTTGTACGCGGCTGTGTTCAGCTCTTTACTGAGACGCAACTGGCATTTTGAAAATCATGCCATGTCTAAATACCTCCTTACACTCAATGTTTGGGTATCAATACCAGCATTTTATTTTCAACCATTTTCCTTTTATTTCCCCTTTGCTGCAACTGAGATATTATACCGTTTGCCGCGATGTGTGTGAGCTGGTTATATTAACCATGAATAGTATCTCAGTACAGCAAAGGGATGCCACAAACCATGAGTTCCCTGAAAGAAGATCTCAGGTCTAGGAGGGCTGAGAGTCACCGCACTGAAGGACGACTACTGGCGGAACCCTCCTTGTCTACACAGCAGGTGCTCCACGAAAGGGTCAGACAGAGAGTGGCCCTTGCGCAGAGCACCGCTAAAAAAGAAACCAGAGTCAGTGAGACGTCTTAGCCGTTTGGTAACTGCCATTTGATTCTGAGAACTCTGATGGGGTGTATTTCTGGCACATCAGTGGGACAAACAGCTGACATTGTCAAACGTGACAGAGTAATGTCTTCCTACTTATTCTGCTCAGCACAAACGCTTGGGCTCTAATAAGGATCAAAGGGCAAAAAGAACGCATTATCTCTTTCATCAGGAAATCATCTTTCCACTCCTCTCGTCTTGTCTCGGATGTGCACCAGCCACACGGACTGATGAGCTGTCTTTCGCTCCTCCACTACGTACGGACTCCCTCAGCCCACGCTGCTCCTTCCAGAATGTCCTTCCTTCCTTCCCATTCTCAGTGAGATCCCATTCATCTTTCAAGTTTCACCTTAAACGTCTCATGTCTCCAAGGTAACAGGTCCAAAACAGAACTCTTGAGTTTTTCCCTCAAGTAAGCTCTTCCTTATCCTCCCATCAGAACGAGTACCACAAGCTTGAGCCAAAAATCTAGGATTTACCCTTAATTTCACTCTTTCACTCCTCACGTGAACCCATTAGCTAGTCCTGTAGACTCCATCTCCAATATAAATCTAAAGTCTGTGTCCTCTCTCCACCCTTACAGCCACCAGCCTGGTCCCAGCCCCACCACCTACCTCCTGGACCATGGCCACCGCCGCTGAGCTGGCCTCCCTGCTTCCGCTGTCCTGCTATCAGAGCTCTCCTCCATATACTGCCATGTTATAAATACATCTCATTGTACCTTTCCATCTTCTTACAACCTTCCAACGGGCTCCCCATCCTGCTAGAATAAAACCAAAGCATCTCACGCTGGCCTTCAAGACTCCGTGTACTCAGGCCTCGCCTCACCCCTCCTCCATAATCTGTTACCACTCGCCTCCTCGATCATGCCATGTCCGCCCTGCTGCCTTTCCTGCTGTCCTTCAGACACACCATGCTTGCCCGAGTTCTCCTGTCACGTTCCTTCCCCGGATCTCTGCACCGCCGGCACCCTCCTACCCGATGAGGGACCTCAGTTGAAATGTCATCTCATCAGACAGGTGGGACCCCAACCTAAAGAAGCCTGGCACTCCCCACCACATCACCCTATTTCACTTTCTGCCCGACAGGTAGAGCGAACCAAGACTGGCATCACACCTGTGTTTGTGATCTCCCGTCGGTGCTGGGACCGTTACATTCATTACCGCATGCCTGGCAGGGCTGTCCCTAGAGGGCTGTGAGTGTGGGCCGGTTACCAGCACACAGCCCAGCCAAGACCACCTTACCCGGAAGGGGCTATTCTGCTAGCATCTCTCATAGGCCCCTGCAGAGGTCATTAAAGATAGACTTCTAAAAAAAATTTTTTAAGGTTTTATTTATTTATTTGACAGAGATCACAAGGAGGAAGAGAGGTAGACAGAGAGAGAGAGAGAGAGGCAGACAGAGAAGCAGGCTCCCCACTAAGCAGAGAGCCCGATGCAGGACTCAATCCCAGGACCCTGGGATCATGACCTGAGCTGTAGGCAGAGGTTTAACCCACTGAGCCACCCAGGCGCCCGTGGGGGGGCAGTTCTAAGATGAATCTCCCGCTTTATCCCACCCTCCTTTTCATCAGTGCTCCTCTGACAGTGCTTTCTTGGTGATGGGTATGATGTCCCACCTCGCTGGCCAGAGAGACTTCCTCTACTCAGAGACCTCGTAAGTGCAACCTGAAAACAGGCAGTGATGTGACTGTCTCCTCGCCCATCACTAGCAATGAAACACAGCTTTCTTTCTACTAAAGCCTGTGGCTTGGTGGTTAAGAATTGTTTCTTGGGGGCGCCTGGATGGCTCAGTGGGTTAAAGCCTCTGCCTTCGGCTTGGGTCATGATCTCAGGGTCCTGGGATCAAGCCCCGCATTGGGCTCTCTGCTCAGCGGGAAGCCTGCTTCCCTTCCTCTCTCTCTCTGCCTACTTGTGATCTCTGTCAAATAAATAAAATCTTAAAAAAAAAAAAAAAAAAAGAACTGTTTCTTGGCTCAGACAGAGCAGGTTCGAATCCCTGCCCCACTATCTACCAGCTCTGTGACCAGGAGCAAATTACATAAGCTCCTAGTTTCAGCTTCCTGTTCAGGAAAACATAAAAGTCGTAATAGTCCCTGCCCCCGGGGCTACTGTGAGGGCACATGACATTTAGAAAGTGTCAACGACACCACCTGCCATCGCCTGCCTCCATCAGGACCGCTCCATGCCGCCAGCTGAGCAGAGGCCCAGCGCCACCCTGCTCTCTGGTCGTCACGTGTTTTTGATCCCATGCTCCCGCTCAGATAAACCCCGACATGTGCGGTGAGATGCTCTCCACACTGGCCTTCTCCTGTCTCCTTCCATAGGTTTTCAGCCAGCTCTCGTCACTGCGTCCAACATGACAACTACTAAATCACGATTCGTGGATTTAGCAAGAATCAAAATAAAAATAAAGAGGTTGGAGACTAGGAGGCTCATCTCCTGTCTTGGAATCACAGGAACAGAGAGACTGAAATTGGAGAAGAGAAGTAAAAGGCTATGTGTCTCAGTTCTCTCTCTCTCTCTGCTTTGGTCATGTTCTGGAGTCCAAACTGCCACCCAGTGTGCAAATGCTGGCATGGCAAGGGGGGACACGGCAGCAGGAGCCTCGGCCATGCATCATAAGCAAAGACACCCGCTCAGCGATCCCCCTAGGCCAAGGGAAATGTCTGGCAGAAATCGGTGTTCTTGCAGACTCAGACCCAGACATCATCAACGCCTTCAGTGAGAAACTTGTGCCCCAAAAAACGAAAACAGACGAGCCTTCGAGAAAAACAGTCATTTTCATAACCATGTTGTTTTGAAAATCTAGCCTCTGCAGAGCATATCAGAAGTTACAGCTTGCCCATCTCATGTGACACCTTCTGTATAGAGAAGGAGACCGGCTCTGTGAGCAGGAGGCAAGTAGGACACCACGCAGCAGAGCAGGAAATCAGACCCGTATTAACTGAGGCAGGAGGAGCTCTTTTGTTGGGGATGCCTTGTGAACACCACTACGAAGGATAAAACAAAGTCTGATTGAAGGAACGGGCACGCACTGAAATAGCATTTTACAGCTGGGCAGAGCCTCCGTGATTTCTCCCAGAGGAACACATGGGTAAGAAGAAAGCCCCAAGCTCCCAGCAAACAGGATTACACTGCTGCCCCCCTGTGTCTGCTGGCTTTTTCTCAGCTTTTGTAAACATGAACGTGGTGGTGGGTGGGGGCGGTCCTTCATGGCTTCTAAGCCAAATCATGGGACCTCTTTAGCAGTAAAGCTATATGCAAATCTGAGGTACTCATGTCATTAACATAATGGTCATAATGTGTCTTTTGACTCTATGTGTTTCGGAAAGCGGTGCAAATGAACATCAAACAATAAAATAGGGGCACCTGAGTCGCTAAGTCGTTAATTGTCTGCCTTTGGCTCAGGTCATGATCCCAGGACCTTGGGATGGAGCCCAGTATTGGGCTCCATGCTCAGCAGGAAGACTGCTTCTCCCTCTCCCACTCCCCCACCCCGACCCTGCTTGTGTTCCCTCTCTTGCTGTGTCTCTCTCTGTCAAATAAATAAATAAAACCTTTGGAAAAAAAAAAAACAATAAGGGTGCCTGGGTGGCTCAGTGGGTTAAAGCCTCTGCCTTCGGCTCAGGTCATGATCTTAGGGTCCTGGGATCGAGTCCCACGTCAGGCTCTCTGCTCAGCGGGGAGCCTGCTTCCCACCTGCCCTGCCTGCCTCTCTGCCTATTTGTGATCTCTCTCTCTCTCTGTCAAATAAATAAATAAAATCTGTAAAAAATAAAATAAAATCTG